CGACACCTGTCACACACATTTATAACACACACACACACACACACACACACACACACACACACACACACATTGTTGTTGTGATGTGCTGTCAATCAGAACTGATTTATAGCAACCTTAAGAGGTAAGAGTAAATGAGGTCTTAACCATTCCACACCCCCTGTGAGCTTCAATGGTTGAGCAGGGATTCAAACGCAGGGCTCCTGACTCCTAGTCTGTCACTCTATCCATTCCACCATACTGGGTATCCATTTATGCACATATGTGAGGTTTATCTATCTATCTATCTATCTATCTATCTATCTATCTATCTATCTATCTATCTATCTATCTATCTATCTATCTATCTATCTATCTATCTATCTATCTATCTATCTACAACCAACCAACCAACCAACCAACCAACCAACCAACCAACCAACCAACCAACCAACCAACCAACCAACCAACCAACCAACCAACCAACCAACCAACCAACCAACCAACCAACCAACCAACCAACCAACCAACCAACCAACCAACCAACCAACCAACCAACCAACCAACCAACCAACCAATCAACCAACCATGCTCCTTGGCAGATTCTTGGAGCAGCGGTTGAAAACCAAAAGAAAAAGAAACTTTCTTGAAGCTCCAGCCAAGAACTGGACCACTTCCCCACTTGCGAGCAATGTCCTTCCTTCCTTCCTTCCAGGCCAGGCAGCGCCTCATGGCAGAGTTCCAGGAACATGCCGCAAAGCGACAAGCCCACCTGGGGAGCAGCTACAGCCGGCTGGAGTACGCCCGGCTCCTGTCTGAACGGGTGGCCCTGCAGACCAAGGTATGGTGTTCGTATGCTCAGCGCAGGCGGCCCTGCTCTGAGCGGGGGCCTCAACGGTTAACCCTGCCGTGGCTGGGGGAAACTAAACATGGTGCCCAGGCTGGGGCCATTTGTTAGTGCTTCCTGCAGCTGGGAGGGTCTTCTGAGGACCCAGATAAAAGGGGGGGGTAAGCGTTTTGCTGAACCCTCTCCAACCCCCCACCCACCCCTTGTCTTCTCCCAGGAGCGTCTCTCTGGATCGACCCAGTGTTTTGTCAACTACCCCGGGGCAAGGTTCTACGCTGCGGCTGGGGCTCCTCAGGGGAGCTGGGCAATCATCACTCGGAAACTGATCCCCTTGCTCAAGTTGGTGGTTCAGACCCTGGAGGAGAGCAAAAAGGGTGCCCCAGAGATGCCTCTGGGGTTGGGATCGGGCGAAGGTATGCCTTGCGCCTCTGCTTGGCTAACGAAGCTCTCGGATCGTGTTTAGGAGGTCTCGGTTCTCGTCCCGCACAAGCCATGAAGCTCCGTGGGGCTACCGAGGCGCCAGCCCCTCTTGGCCTTGGCCTCTCTTACCTTCCAGGATCCTTGTGAGGATGAAGCAGGAGGGAGGAAGACTGACACCCACCACCTCCAGCTTGTTAGATGAAAGGCAGCTAATAAATAGAATATTTAAAAAAAAATACAAACAAACACATAAATAATCAGTAAACATTGACCTCTTAGCTCCAGGGCTGCTTGAATGAAAGCCCCGGAGTCTTCCCGGTGTCTGGTTAAAGATGCACCAGAGGTATTAATGAAACACAAGGCAGCTTCGGTGACAGTTTCACAATCCATCCTGCCAATTAAGGCTTGGCGTTTAAAACAAACAAACAAAAAACAAAACACACGAATGCTCCATTTGGCCGCCTGCCCTTTTTCTGTAGGCTCTTCCACAGCTTGGCCTCTTTCCAGCTCTCAATAAGGTCAGAAGGGAACGTCATGAAGGAAATCTCCAAGGGGCTTTGCTTTTGTTCAAACTCTCCCCCCCCCCAACTCTGGGTTTGTTTTTTAAAAAATTGGTGGCATATTAACGCTGCACCTAAAATGTTCCCCCTCTGCTCCAATTCCCTTCTCAGTGAATTGTGTCCGAGAGCCAGATGTTCAGGTGGCATTCCTAGCTTCGGTTTGGCAGCAAAGCAGCTAGAAAATCAATAGCAACCCTTTTACTCTGCCTTCTGCTGGCATCCAGATGTAGAAGTTATGAAATCAGTGGAAGCAGACCCTCGTCTGTAGTTAAATTACAGATCATCGTGGGGGTATCCTGGTTAGGTGGGGGAGGTTGGTGTTCTGGCTGGGGGTGGGATTGGGAAGATAAGGAGGCAAGCGGGAGCAGACGTGGTCAAACCACTCAAGGACCGGCTTCGTCAAAGGATGGGGCTCAAACACTGCCTTTCTGCCCAAGGATGCTATAGCTCAGTGGGTTAGAGCAGTGGTCCCCAACCTTGGACCTCCAGATGTTCTTGGACTTCAACTCCCAGAAATCCTGGCCAGCAGAGGTGGTGGTGAAGGGTTCTGGGAGTTGTAGTCCAAGAACATCTGGAAGCCAAAGGTTGAGGACCACTGGGTTAGAGCACCAGGCTGAGTTTGGATCCCACTGCATCTCCTGGGACCGCAGCCAGCCAGCATCACTTGGAAGGTTTATGGATGGTGGCATTGCTGACCTGCCCCCTGGGGCAAAGAGGAAGGTGATGCCAGAACATCACCAGATGGAGGGACTGATCCACCAACATCTGTTCCCAGGAAATCCTGAGAGGGTCCCCATCAATGGGAAATGATGTGACCTTAACACAATTAATGGCTTCTTCTCAAAAAGTGGCATTCAGGATGGCAACTGAGATGAAGATTTCGAAACCATTCCTGATCACCTTGGACATCTTGCTGAAGCCATGCTGTTCTCCTTCAGCAGACCCCAGGGTCTGGACGGATGCACCCATTTCCCCGCCCCCCAGGCTCTCCCACTGAGCTCCCCATGGCCAACTTCATAGCCAAACAGAAGATGCTGATTCAGACGCAGCGCATGCCACTGGAACTGTGCCCATTTCAAAATCATTGAGGATGGTTTAAATGCCCAGAACTGCATTAAGGGAATTAATAGCAGGCAGCAGATAGGTCTTCAGAGGAGCTCATCTCTCTCTCTCTCTCTGCCTCGTTCTGTTTTTGCTGTTATCGATCGGCGTTCCTGCCCTGCAGTGCTTCAGCTCAGGCTACTTCACAATAGTCCTGTACAAAGATACCTTGTTTGGTACGAAAAGATCGTGATGGGATGTCTTCTCATTCCCCTTCAGAGACAGAGGATGCCACAATGGTTTTACAGAGCTGGCACTGAAGTATACACAAACACATACACAGGAGTGCCCAAAAATCTTTTTCGTGTTCCACCTGTTCTTTTCTGCCTCCCTTATGCCCACCACATCCTCTTTGATCATTTTCCTGGGACTACCTCTTTCCCTTCCACATTAGGAACCCATAATCCTTCAAAGGAACTGGCTTCATAGATCTCATTTCTCCCAAAGGCTACTCCTCCAGGAGCACTCTGAAGGTGTCAGAGGTACCTAGTGCGGTGTTGAGGACCAACACAAAGGAGGAAGTGGCACCTATTGCTGGAGCCCTCTCACCGGTAACACCTTCTCAGCACGCCCCAGACAAGTCCCAGCTTCTGCAGGAAATCCAGACAAGGTGAGAGGTGTAGGAGAAGACTGACCCAAGAAGTCAGCATGAGTTTGGGGGATAGAAGTACATCATGTGTAAAATGGGAAGGTCACCCTCCTAGAATGTCATGACAATGGTTTGCTTTGGCTGTTTGTTTGTCAGTATTCTTTTCCTGTTCTTCTCTCCATGTTTACTCTGGTGGGAACGTGATATCCTAGGACTCTTCCTGCAAAGAATTCTTGTTTAGAAATTTTCCGCTTATACAGCCAACCTGGAAAATGATGCTTCTATCCTAGTTCATGATACACTGGAGTCAATTCTTTCAAAGGTCTGCTTTAGGCTCTTTGGAATAACTCTCAGAGCTGATCTTAGGAGGAGTACTGCTATATGAGATTCCCAGTGTAGTGTCGTGAATAGAATGGCGGACTAGGACTCTGGAGTCCAGGGTTCGAATCCCCACTTAACCATGGAAACTTCACTGGTGAGTGGAACTGGTAAAACCACTCCTAAAAATGTCTCACGTATCTTGAAAGCCCAGTTAGGGATGCTATAAATCAGTTATGACTTGATGGTGTGTATGTGTGTGTGTGCGTGTGTGCATGCATGCACGTGCGCATGCGTGCACACACACAAACTACCAGATGTGTTTCTTTAATATCTTTAATTATACTATCTATGCATTTTTAAAAAAATCTATCTATAAGTCCACCGACCCTTCCCTCCTGCTCTTATTTGGTCAGGATCTTCTTGGAGAAGCATGCAGGTGAAATGGTGCATCTCGAGCAGTCCTTAATAGCAGAGGAAATTGACCTGATCTCTTGCTTTTGTGAATCACTCGAACTGCAGAAGAACCTGGTGAGAGACACGGGGATGTCCTATAGAAGGGCAGGAGCAAGCATCAGAAAGAAGGGTTTACTTTTGGAAGGGCTCTCCCAGTTTTACAATAGCTAAATGCCTGAAAGTCAGCCCAAGGTTCCTGTTTTCCAAAATCCAAAGATTTGGAAAGGCCAAAGACTTGGATCATCGCACCTCCATAAAAAGGAAAATCTAGCTTCACATGAAAGTCTAATTTAACCATTTGGGCGGAGTTTCTTATTCAAAAGTGTTGTTTCTTTGTTTTTTTCTGTAGACTGCTTTTCAGATCAGCCACAGGGATTCCTTTCGGAATGTGGCTGCTTTTTTTTTAAACATCAGAACTGCCTCCGTGATGTCCTTTGATCAGAGATGGATATATTGTATTTCCAGGAAACCCTGTTGCACCCGAGCACGGATTGTTCCAAGGACTGGGAGGACCTGCTGAAGGAACTGGCCGACTACCACCACCACATGGAAGAAGAGTTGGTCCAGAGGCAGTGGGAAGAAATGCAATGGGTGGGGCTTACCCTTGGGGGTGTCCCTCTCAAAGAGGGGGGTTTATTCTCCCGAGAAGAAATCCGGCAGAATCTAGTGTCACTAGGGGCCAGTTTGAAAAAGGCAGACTCCCTCTTTGGAGTGGATGCTGCAAACCATGTGAGTTTGATGCTCAGGAAAGTTTTCCAACCCCGGGTCTCTTTTTGGACTACAAGTCCCATAATCCCCAGCCACCTGGCTGGGGATTCTGGGACTTGTAATCCAAAACCCAAACTTTCCCAAACACGGTGTGGATTGCTTTGAGGAACACGGCACCTCCTTCCCATCTTCCCAGAGCTTCCACATTTATGGAATGTCATCCCCTTCTCTGCTTCGCAGGGAAACCAAGCTTTGGGGGCAAAGTCCAGCCGCTCGGTGACTCAGAAAATACAAGCCACGGCCATCAAGATGGTCCGGCAAGAAGCTGTGAAGCAGCTCTGGGGACACAGAGTCCTGGACCGTTACAGCTGCCTCTTCCAGGTACCTTGTTCTTCTGCTTCATCCTTTGCTGCCTTTCGGCTTTTGAACTTAAGCTTGAAAAGTTGTTGTTGTTTTAAGTAGTTTTTTTATTGACATGAACTACAGTGCTATCAAAAAAGTAATTCATTACTTATCATTATGTTTGCAAAATCACAACCAACGGCAAATGTGTTACATTTTTCTGTTACTTTTTCTGGAAAGCAGTTCTTAGGACTGGTAATGGAGTGATGTAAAAGTTGAACAATACCTCTGAAACTGCAGAAGGTGTCCTTGCAAAGTAAGTTTTAAAAGTAACTAGAAGCTGTTAGTCATTACAGCAATAAAGACACCCTATTACTTTTGCTTCTTTTTGAAATGAGAGTTTATTACATCCTCATTAGACCAACCAATAACTTGTTACAGGCAAATAGGTTATTCATTTATTCATTTATTCATTTATTCATTTATTCATTTATTTATTCATTCATCTATCTATCTATCTATCTATCTATCTATCTATCTATCTATCTATCTATCTATCTATCTATCTATCTATCTATCTATCTATCTATCTATCTATCTATCTATCTATCTATCTATCTATCTATCTAACATGTTGCCCACACTACCCAAGGTCTCTGGGCGGCTTACAACATGTAACTCTTAACGTTCATGCTCACCTTATGTTCATTTATTGTCATCTGTTTCTTACATTTCCACCCAACTTTTCCTCTACCTTAAAACACAGATCTATGTCTGTTTCCCCCTTATATCTTCATAACGACCCTGCAAGCTAGGCCTGTCTTAGAAAGTATGATTGACGCAAAGTCACCTTGGCGGGGAATTGAACCCAGGTTTCTTGACTCCTAGTCCAGAACTCTTAAGTCTCGCACCACCCTGCCTCCGCCTCTAACTGCATTCGGGAAGCAGCCGTTCCCACTAAAGAGGCACCCCCTGTTAATCTTGCAGTCCATTTCTCTGTCTTGCGTCCTTTCAGAGACGGGCTTTCCCCAAAGAGGACTTGCAGGCAGTGCACGGCGTTTGCACAGGAGAAAATGTGGCCCAGGACGTGGTTCGATGGGCTGAGACGGCTCAGGTGGAGAAAGCCGTGGCTTTTTTGCAAAAGCGCCATGAGGAAGGGGAGCTGCCTCTTTCCTTTAGTGCAAGCAGCGGTGCCGAAGGGAGGACGCTGCAGGCCCTGATCCAGACAGAGCTACAGGCACAGATAGAGGAGAAGGTACTTGAGCAGTCTTGTCTTTATTGGCTTGGCCAAACTGAGAGGCCGGCACAGCTCTGTTTTATTTCTTTGTTTGCACATGTAGGCCCCCTCCTGTCCTCCCAAATGTTCACCCTCTCAGACACAGCCCTCTCCTTCTCCCTTCTCCCTTCCTGTCATGATCCTAAAGAGAGGATTTGAACGCCCTTCCCTAGAGATTTCTCCTCAGCCCTGATGGCTCTACCATACGGTGTGTTCCCACGTAATGGGTCTGCGTCCCGAATACGCTGTTTGGTGCCACCTGTTCTTCTGTGCCCTCAAGTTGCTTCTGATTCATGGGGACCCCCGTCAGACTTTGGAGATCTGTGAGATGGTCAAGGAGCAGTTTTTCCAGCAATATTCTCCCCCCCCCCGGGGTTCCATGGCTGAGTGGGGATTTGAACTCAAGGCTTCAGAGTCATAGCCTGACTATCTGGTTTTGAACCCTTATGACACCATATCTAGTTGGGGATGTTGTCTGACACATCAGGGAGGCTGAAGAGGCGAAAGGCTAGTTTAAAACATTTTTTTAAAAAAAAAATAGAAACACGATTTTTAAAATTTTCCTCCCCTCCAGCTAGAAGCCAAAGTGATGGGAGCTATTCAGGAAGCAGCAAGACAGGCCACCCAACTCACTGCTGAGGACACGACCTATTTTCTCCTAAGCGGGTGGCATTTACGGCAAGCAGCCCTGTTGGAAGCTGGCCTTCCGCTCCAAAAAACTGGCCGACGAACTCCCAAGGATGAGAGCAAAGCAGGAAACCCAGTGCTGGACGTAAGCAGTTTATTTCTTCTTCATAGAGTCTCAGGTGGAAGATGATGGGAGTGACCGTCCAATACCTTTGGAAGGCACCAGAGTAGGGAAGGGCTGCCGCCTTGAATCTGGACTTGGCTTTCCATCCCAGGAGTCACTGGTAGACAAAGAGACGAAAGCCCTTGTCCGGCTGCTGAAGGAGCAAAAGAAATTTCCTTGCCCCGTGCTGGAGTTGCAAGAAGCAGCCCAGAGGCTCCAGCTACGTGAGAGGCAGTTCCAGGAGATGGTCCAGAAGCTGCAAGCTCATTCCTCAGACAAGGTGGGAACAACACATGGACCCAAAAAGAGGGTGGGGTGGAGTGGGACACAAAGGGAATGGGAGACCAAGACTTGAACCCAGCCCTCCCTTTCACCTAAGTCATCCTTCCTTTTTCTCTTCTTATCTCTTCGGACCCAAACTTGTTCTGGCAGCGGCTGGAGGATGCTCGCCAGGTGGCCAAGCAACTGCAGGAATTCCGGCAGCGGAAGACCAAAGAGCTCATAGATCAGCTGCAACCTTTTTTCCTCCTTGGTGAACAAACACCAAAGAAGGAGACATCGGTCATTGGCAACCAAAGAGGGGTACGTTCACAAGGAGGGGTGCTGTTTATCACTCTTCGGTAGGGTGAAGTATCTTTGAGCAGTGGAAACGGATTCAAACACAGATTTATATCTTTGGCAAAAGGTGAATGTATAATACTTTTAGCCCTCCTCCAAAAAAACAAGGAGAACAAGCAATTGGTTTTGTAGCTAGATTAGCACCATCTACACCAGTGAAACCCTGCATCCATCCATCCATCCATCCATCCATCCATCCATCCATCCATCCATCCATCCATCCATCCATCCATCCATCCATCCAGGAAAGCTACTCAGACTCTATAGGTTCAGCTTTAGTTCTTAGCGAGGGGTTTCTTGACTCTGGAGGATGGAGAGAGAAAAAGTAAGAAAATCTCTAAATTTGCACAGGATCACATTTCCATATCTTTTTCTTTTGAAAAGTTCACCCTACCTTTTTGCTTCTCTAAGGTGAGGAGCAAAGCATGTAACCTGGGCCATTCTCTGTAGGATCTCTGAATGCAGGATGAAGGGAGTGAGAGCACTTTTGACCTAATGAGCTTGTTTGATTACTGATCGTGCCAATAGGGTGCCCCTGGAGCTGAAGTTCTTTGAGGGTTTGCAAGTTAAAAGCAAGCGCGAGTTAAAATAATATGTTTTTATCTGTTTGTTTAAAATGGCAAGCTGTCGGCATAGCTCAGTGGTTTGGGTCTCTGGCTGCAGAGCCAGAAGTTGGGAGTTTGATTCCTCACTATGCCTCCTGAGAGAAAAACCAGCCTGGGTAGCCTTGGGCAAGCTGTACAGTCCCAGGGCATCCCCAGAAGAAGGGAATAATAAACCACTTCTGAGTATTTACTACGTTGAAAAACCTGGAAAGAATCACTGTATGTCAGAATCAACTTGATGGCACACCACTATTACTATAATTATTAAAACTACAAAGTGAAACTGATGACGTCCGTGTTTTCTTGCCTTGTAGAATGGAAGGTCCTCGTTAGTAAAGGACGAGAAAGAGAAGAAAGGAAAGGGGAAATGGGAAAGTTTCCAAGAAGCTCGGTTGGCGGAGATGGAGAAATCTTACCGGGGCCAAATACTGGAGGAAAAAGCGAAAATGCAGGATCAGCTGGAAAAGGGTGAAATCAAGAAATGGTTGAAGCAGGTGAGAGGAAAGTGGCAAAGGATTCAGGCACCCAAGTTTCTCACTCCAATATTGGTATCATCAGGGTGGGGCAGCAGATTGCAGAGGTTGTTTCCAGAGTTTGGAAAAGTTACCTCTGTTGGATTCTAGCTCTCACAACTGCATGGCTAGCATGGCCTATGCCCTTAAAACAAACCCAACTTTTCCAAGGCCAGGTTGGACCCAGGAGTGTGTCCCTGTCAGTAGGAACATTCTTTGAGCTGAATCTTTTAGAAGAGGGTTGTTGTTGTTGTTGTTTTTCGAAGGCCTGTAGAACTAGTATGGGAGAAGAGCAGAAAACCAGGACCCACTCCCATTTTATGATCCGAAATGCTCAAGCGGGCAGCAGCAAATACAACAGAATCTCTTGTATTGGGATCTTAAAGACCAGCAAATCTTATCTGCCATCAGTTTTGCGTCTGGATGACAGTCCATAAAAGCTGGTGCGTCATGAAATGTGCTAGGCTTTAAGGTGCCAAAGGATCTGAAGAGATGCTTGGCTCGGTCAAAAGACTTATGTAGACAGGGGGAGAAATTTTTGTTTAAGGTCTGGATCAAGGTGAAACTCAGGGCCCCTGTACTGCAAATTGGATTTGACTTGACTGCTGTGCCTTCTTCAAAACCAGGGCATTTTTTGGAAAGGATCATTTTGTGACTGTGAGATTGAAAACTCCTATTTAAAGAGTTCTGGGTCACTGCAGTTCGGCATTCTCCGGTTCCTAAATGATGTTTGAAACATCTCACAGATATGATGACCCAGGTCTTTGACACTCTGAGATTAGAAGGCAGAGGAGATCAGAAGCATGGAGATTCCAACTGGGCTCACACCACATCCAACCCTTTTTCCTGACAGAAGCTGTTGAGAGAACATGATGAAACGCTGACCTTCCTGGATAGAGCATTCCAGCAAGATATGCAGAAGCAGAGAGGAAGGGTGGAGGTGGAGAAAAGGAGGAGACAAGCCAGTCAAGAAGATGGAAGCTACCCAATATCTAAGGATGCCGCTGTGCAGGAACAGGATCCACCCAGCCTGGCCGAAGGTGACAAAGTCAACTCCCTCTTGGCGGAATGTAAGTCTCATTGGCAACTATCAGAAAATTAAACTGGTCTCCTTCCTTTTCATAGAAACTTTCCTTGGTGGTCCCGTGGGTGTTGCTGATGCATGCTATATATATTTAGGGCAAGTGGGCTTCAAATTGGATCAGATCCACATCTTACCATTGTTTCAAGACCTAGGACTCAAGGTATTTTCAAGACAAGGCGTAAGAAGAGATAAAAACCACAAGTGATGAAATGTAAAACCACATTAAAATATGGATGAATTGAAAAGGGATGCCAAAGTAGGCCAATAAAAAAAATTGCATTCAGACAAAAAGCTGTAAGTTTCAGGCACAGATCAGACAGAAAGGATGAGCAAAACATCACTGGGTCCTGCCAGTCTGGATTGCACTCACTAGATAAAATCTCCTCCCTTGCAGATGTCAAGATGCTGAGACACACTGAACTCCTGGTGCTTTTAAGAACGACCCTCTTGAATCCTCAGTTCAGGTCCCTTCTTTCTGGTAGGTTTTACTTTCCCAAGGGGCTGGAGACTCATCTGAAAGGGTTTGGCCATTTGTTGAGATTTAAATTCACCAGCAAAGCATCTGTGTTTTTGTGTAGACAAGAAGGAAACTGGTGATGGAGCCTCTTCCCATCTTCTTGCTCTTCTGAATGATGTGAACCAACAGCTCCGTCATTATGCAGCAGCAGCTGGATTTCTGAACAAGCAGCCTGAAGAAAAAGGTAAATCTCCAGTTCACAGGCACAGCTAGCATTCAGCACCATGGACAGGGAATTTTCAGTTAAGGGCCTCCTGAAGATCTCCTTGAAGGCCTTGAAGGTGAGCGTCCTTCTCTCTTAGAAGTACAGCTACATCCAACAGAACCCAAGGACCTAGTGATCATATTGACTTTTAGAACTGTGTATATTCTCCATGTTCAGAGTACTAACTGCCAAGAAATTCAGCATCCTGACAAACAAGGGTCTTATTTTATTTTATAAGTCTCTAGTTCATATTTTGCTTTCTTTCAGAAAACAGTGAAATTCATTTACAAGCATCTGAGTAATATTTTGCCTCCCTGCAAATGCAGTAAATTCTTTCCAGGATATCATGAGCATACAGATGACTCCTAAATCCAGGGAGCTCGTACCTGTGGCCACCTCCAGCTTTTCTGCAAGGGAATTGGTAATATACCAATACGGCATCGTTCTTCTGCAGTTCCTCCGGACTCACATTGGTGTAAGTGTCCCAGACGGGGTAAAGCCTCTCTGGGGGGTTATGAGATGAGGTTCCTGTGCAGAATGTCCAAAAAATCTAAACGTTGACCCTCTTCCTCTTCATTCCTATGAAAAGCAAACTTCCGTATCTGTCCTAGGCAGGCTTTCTTTAGTTCTAATGGCTCTTGATAGATACTTTTGGAACAATAATCTGCTACTTACCCCCTCCACCCAGTCCAGCAAGCCAAGAGGCGAAATCCTTTGCACAACAGGGGCACACGGTGCGTTGAGAGATAAGGCGTCTTCTCTTAAGGCAATGAACACAAGACCATCATCCATCTGTTCTTTCTTACAGACTTTTAATTCTCTTCTCCTTTTTTTCATTTTTTGTTGAGTTTCAGCCCTTCTCTCCCCATCTTTCAGGAAAACAAGCCCTCTCACCCAGTTCCAAAGAGTGTCTCTGAAACCATGAGCAAATTTGCTGGATTGTGATTTCACATCCACAAGGCAGGGTGCACCATCTTTTCGGCCCCAGGGGCTGCACCCAATGTTAGCTGGCAGCCACCCATGGGCTGGCACACATACTTGTCTATAAATATAGGCATGCGTGCACACACACACATACACACACACACCATGCTCTTCCTCTTTCTTGGGGGATAAAACAATGACCTTGGAACCAAGAGTGAACCAGGATATAGGCAGTCCATCCTGGCTATGATGAGTGAACAGACAAATCCAATGTAAGGTAGGAATGCTATGTATTTGGAACATTTACTTTAGACATCCCTTTCCCTTGGGCTGTGGAATGCAAAGCCATGCTGTCTCCATCCATTTAGCCCTCCTTGCTTTTCTTTCCAGGGTCCAGAGGTCAACCTGGGTGTTGCATCCAGCATTCCTTCAAGCGATGCACCTGGGAACGCCTTTCGCAACACTTTTTACTATCAGGTATGCATGAACGTGTGGATCCCGTTCAGTCCCGCGCTGTGCCTCCTCGATGCAGCAGCTGAGCCACAGGACCCATTCCCGTTCTGCCATTCTAAGTGTATCCAGAAACTTTTATAACACAACTCTCAAGACATACTAGAGATGCACTTCAAAGCACTTAGGAAGCGTGGAGGCTAAAAGCATCCCATCTCAAAGGTCTTCCCTCACTGGGTAACTTTTCAACGGCTTTCTCTCCCTGCGCTTAGATTCCCGAACAGAAGCTGTTTGTTTTAAGAGAGTGCCTGAGTTGCATTGGGAGCTTTATCCTGCTCCTTGTGCACTGCCTAGCCCATATTGCCGCTGATGACCTCAGCCAAGACTCCAGCCCAGCTTTTCAGAGACTCTTTTACCAGGTGAGCAACGGTTCTGAGCTATCAATCTGCTGATACTTCAACGGGACTTCTAAGTCCCGGCCGTGGTGGCCGGTGAAGTCTCCGGACGCTGATCAGAATGTCTGAGGGTGAAGGGCTGCCTAAATCTGAAGGTGATGAAGCAGAGGGTGGGGGTCCCCGGAGGTTAAACTCACACCTAGTTAGAGACCTTGCCTTCTCCTACAAATCCCCCATGGCTCACAAAAGATGTTGCTGGTCAGGTGTGCTGTGCCCATTTGCCCAAACGGTGGGACCCATCTTGGAATGGGGTATCCTATTGTATAGCAAGTTCACTCACCAACTGATGTCATCGACTTTGATTGCAATGTTTTGGGCAAATTCCTTTCTTATCCCTCCCACCTGAAGCCTTTTTCTGACTGGAGACACTGCAGGTGGCACCTTCTCTGTCCCAATTCACAACTAGGCATGGCGGATTTGTCAGGGAGCCGTGCCATTATCATCTGCTCAACCAGCATCCCCCCCAAATAGTCTTGTCTTCTGAAATCGTAGTTCAGAAAACCAACCTCCATAAATTCTGCTTCATGAAAGAACGAGACTTAATCTTCCAGTACTGTTTCGCAGCACAAATCTAGCCCCAAAAGTTTTTTTTTCCTGCTAACCCTTCTCCCTTCTTCTCCTTTGTTTCCTGCTGTTTGCTTTCTTGAAGTAATGCTTGCAGTAAGTGAATACAAGCAAGTGGGGTGCGTGCCTACGTGCGTTTTTAACTGGATAATTTATCGGTGCATTTCAGGCACTGAAAGCCTGCCTGGGTGAAATGTTCTCTCTGCGGCTCCAGACGTCAGCAATGGTGGAGGAGACTAAATCTGCTGTCAGGATGATTAACAAGGTTTTCCTGAACAAAGAGGTGATCACCGATGAGAAAATCAATCTCCTCTCAGGGCTTTTTGAATCTAAAGTGAAGCCTTCTGCAGACTCCGAGAAGGTAGTTCTACAAACTCCCATGTACCCACACACAGAGGGGCACCTGTCTGCTTCTGTGGTTCTGCTAGAGCGGTGGACAACTCTGTTCCCCCATATGGTTTGGGTACTGCAGCTCCCGTCATCCTCCACCTTTGACTGTTCTGGCTGTGGCTGATGGGAGTTGGAGTCCAACATCTTTTGGAGGACCACAGTTGCCTTCCTCTGGGTCTACAGCAAAGAGTGCAGAAGAACTCTTGAGCGGCTCTTGGGTCTCTTTGCTCATTGTTTTCTGTATTTACAAGTCAAGGCTGCAACAAAATGTTGCAGTGTGCAGTGCTCGCATTCAGGATTCCAGTCAGTTAAGGAGAAGCACCATTTCCCAATGTTCTTCCATTTTTCTTATGATCCCAAAGAGCTGATCAGTATTCTTTGCCTGCTGAAAACATTGCCTTTTCCTCAGGCTGTCTGGATTCCCTCGACTTAGTTCCCCCACTCCCTGTTCCAAAGTTTGCTTATGTTTCTGCAGATCTTTGAGTTCTCTGCTCATACTTCCAGATTGGGCATGGATGGTGCTCTTTTGACTATCCATGCTCAGATGACTGAGGTCAGCATCCAGACTACAAATTTATTCATTTGGTCAATGCACAAGCACTTATCCGGGGTGGGAGGTGTGCTGTTAGAACACATTTCCATACAGCTATGAAAATGGTCAATAGTCAAGGGATTCCAGGAAATATCATCCGAAGACAGAAACAGTGAAGGTCTTCAGAGAACCCAAATTCTTCAACCTTATTTCACTTTGCTTTGCAATGCCTAACCTTGGCACCTGAAGCAACATCAAGAGTCCTGGCGTGGCACAGAGATTGAGGATTCGCTCAAGACTAAACGGTCCCCCAAGAAAGAGGAATGTCACTCCAGCGTCTTCCCCAATGGGAGCCAGGAAATCCTTCCACCAAAGAGGTAAGAACTGAGAAGGTGGGTCTGGTATGGTGTGACTTGGTCCATCCCAGTCATTTTTTGGGGTGGAAGAAACACCCCAAAGCACCTTTAGATGCTTTGGACCACATCCCCCTCCATCCTTAGCCTTCAACTGTGTTGGCAGGGCATATGGGAGTTAGGGTCCAAGCCTTCTGGAGCGCCAAAGATTTCCTCTTCCTTAGTAAAGTCTTCTTCCATCACCACCTTCCCCACCTTGGTGCTTAGATGTTCTCCCCGCCCATCTCAAGGTAAAAGATTTGGGGACCTGTCATTCCGTCTGGAAAGCCAGCATTTATCCACCACTGGTTTCGATAGTGTTTTTATTAAGTGCTCCAAGTACTTCCCATTATCTCAGCTGTCTTCTAAAGCAGTGCTTTCCAACCTTGGGTCCCCAGATGTTCTTGAACTGCAACTCCCAGAAATCCTGGCCAGCAAAGATAGTGGTGAAGACTTCTGGGAGTCCAAGAAGATCTGGGGATGCAAGGTTGGGATCCACTTCTGCCCTTCTAAAACAAGCTATTCCCCCCCTGTGCCCATTTTGCTGATTATTGAGGAGCTAGAAGAATATTGATCCCCTGGAAGCCCTTACAAGATTAAGCAGGACTTGAACTCGGGGGGCCTGGCACAAGAGTTTGTCCTCTTCTCTGCTCTACAGATTGTACCCACTCAACCTTAATTATGGCTCTCTTTCCTTAGCTCGGCCTCTGACAGCTGCTCTCCCATTAGCCCAGGAGGAGCAGCAGGAGATGTGATGGACGTGCTGACAGAGAAACTGGTGAAACTCCTCAAGAAGGAGCGAGAGTTTCCATTGCAGCTTCTCAAGAGCCCAACCTGTGAAGATCAGCTCATGGATCAGGCTGAAGCGACCGCCTTGGAGAAGGCTTCTCTACTCAGGGAAATACAAGCTCTTGAAGGGAAGGCAGTAAAAGCCAAGAAGGCCTGAACAAGTCTGTGTTGTGTTGTAAAAGCACACAAGGTGGGAGAAGAAGGCAGGAGAAGACAACTGGAGGCTGGTAACCTCTCTTTAGGATCAACATAGACAAGGCAGTTGGGACGTCATTACGATCGGAGCTCTCTTAAGAGGCAGAAGTCTTTCTGGTGCGAGGCCTCCTGTTGCTTATGATTTGCGATACATCAGCAAGAGTTAAGTTGTGGGTTTTGGCTGCAGCCATGCTTGCTCAAGTAACCGATTTGCAATTCATGATCAAGAGTTAAGTTGTGGGTTTTTGGCTGCAGCCATGCTTGCTCAAGTAAGGGCAGCTTTGAAGGAATTCTTCTCTAAAGGGAAACATGTTTCTTCAGCTTCTACTAGCAAAGCAAGCATCTCAATGAATCCCAAAAGCATGCCACAAGTTAAAAATAAATGGGCAGCTGGACTTTGCAGTGAAAAGGGAAGCGAGAACCCTAGAATTTCTCTCGCTGGCAACTCCAAGCACAAATATCTCCTCCTCATCCATGACTTAACTGCTGCTGGAAATTGAATACAATCACATTAAAATAGAATAAAAGATTGAATGCATTTCTATGTGCCTCCGGTTGTTTTCACAGTAAGAAATAAACCACGTGCCACCCCGTGGTAATTGGATCATTAACTTTTAGAAGGAGGAGGAGCAGGAAATGAGGGGAAGTAACCTGGTTTCCTTGTCTGCTTCAGAAAAGACAGATGCAGACGATAAGGCAAGAAATATCTAAAGATGGGAGTGTTTGTAATATCCCAAAAAATTCACACAAAGGAGGGAGCAAAGCTCCTCCTATCAAGCTTGGCCTTTTCCCTGTGCATGCGTTATTGTCTTGCGTTGTCCTCCTTTCAGAAGGGTCTTCTTCATTCAGGCACTTCCTTGTGTCTTCACTGCTCCTTGTCAAAGATGCTGGTTCAACTGTTAAATCATGTCTCTAAGAGAACAGGGTCGCCAAAGGATTTGAGGGAAGCAATTGAAGCCATGAAGCAAGGAGGTGCTTGCTCCACAGAATAATTTTGGGATGCAAGCAGAAGAAAAAAAACCCTTGCACGTATTTCCCCTTCCCGAACTCTGCAGCTCTCGATTACAAACCTTCCCAGTTATCTCTGCTAACTCTTACTCAGAACAACTGCATGGTTGCTTCCATCAGATCTGATAAAGGCGCTCAAAATCACATTTCTATTGCAGAATAAATCTGGCTGGAAAGTGCAGTGAGCCAGGTATCTGACTGTGGAGCCAGAGGTTGGGAGTTCAATTCCCCCACTGTGCATCCCAGCCTGTGTAGCCTTGGGCAAGCTGCACAGTCCCAGGGAGCCCCTGGAAAAAGCAAACGGTCAACCAATTCTGAATATTCTCTACCTTGAAACCTCTGAGAAACATCCCCCTTAAGTCAGAACTGACTTGAAATCACATGGATCTTATTACTGCACAATCAATAAAGTTAGGGTTTCTAAATGGACTCTGAATAGCTACACACCGGCAACCACATGTCGCCCATAACTGGAGCTGAGGACATCCTGAAATTTTGGGGCGTGAGACACCCTATCACCACTCACTCCACAATCTGCCTCTCACTGGGATGTGCAAATCAAATACAATTTTTTTCCAGACTTCCAAAGACATTCTAGGTATTCTTGGACATCAACTCCCGGAATTTGTTGACCTTTGGTGATGGTGACTGTGGCGTCTGAGAGCAGAAGTCTAAAATGCTCAGTTGACTAGGAAAAAAAAAGGAACCACTGTAAGAAGACAGGCAGCAGGTTGGAATTCAAGGTTGTTTGAGCAGCTTCAAGACAAGATACAGCAAATATTCTCTTGCTTAGAAGAAAGCACAGAGACCATTCTTGTGTCCCTCTGATCTCTAACATCCTTATTTAAGGCCATGCCAGGTTTTGAGATTCCTCCATCCCCTTGTCTTCATCAGGAAGCCAAAACAGTTGTTATTTCTTTAAAAACACACATCTCATTTTATTAGTAAACCAATTTCCTTTTTACGCGTTCCACTAATCTTACCACTAAAATACATTTAAAATCACTTTTAAAAAGAGTTTAGCCTTGCAGTGTGTATTTTAAAAGTCACAAACACAGAATTAATTTTTTTTTAAAAAAGGAGAGCTGGGGACAGAACAAGACAGGGATGGTATTGTTTGGAGAGGCTTTTTTCCTCCTGGTGAAAAGTTCCAACGTCCTTGCAAACCTCGGACTTCACAAGGGAGACTGGATCGCAGCGTTATCGGTGGGCATTGACCCAGTGGTATCTGTCTACACGCGGGCCAGCAAAAGGGGCGGGTGGCCGGCAGGATTTATAGGTCTTATATGGAAGATAGGACGTGCCAGCAGGATTCTGGTGGACTCCATCGGAGGTGTGCGCTTTTCTCCGGGAATACTGCGACCAGACCTGAAAAGAGCCTCCACACTGAGACCAGACAGAGAAGCGGAGGAAAAGGGTCAAGAGACGACAAAGAATATCAGACACCACCTTATACTAGATCCACCACATCTTGGCCTCTCCAGCCCAATATTCTTAGCTCTGACCGACATCAACCCCTCTCCATGATTGCATCTACGAGTCCTTCCTAGCCAAGCCCTAGCTGGAGACAAGAGGGGTTCGCACTGGGACCGTAGCTATGGAAAGCCAATGCGCTACCACAGAATTGCGGCCCTTCAGCCTTTCCCCAGAATGGAAAAGGAGACCTCTCTTTTTTTTGTGCCACTTCAGGATGTACACAAGAATGCAATTCAACTGACTTTCTATAGAACGGCTGGATAGCTCCGTGGTTGACGTCTCTGGCTGGGGAGCTAGAGGCCAGGAGTTCAATTCCCCCGTGGGGCCTCTTGGAAAGGGGCTGGACCCAGTGGTCCATAGGATCCCTTCCTGCTCTGCAGTGCAAAGGTGGTTATTTGTCATAATCATCATCCAAAAATTTGATCATCTTGGCTTCCGAGAGTTCCCCACCACCACCATCACATTATAGATAGATGTGGAACACTTTTCTGCAAGTATTTCTCCTTTGGGTGCCAATGTTTACTATCATCCAGGTGTTTTAAACACTCAGAGGCCGAGATCCTGTTCCTTACTGTAGTCAGTGATGCTAGAGTAGGCCCACTGAATCAAGGGGCATTTAGTGAGTCACCTCCTTCCTAAGTTCCATGGATTCAAACAATTCTACTCTAGTTGTAACTTACTACACTGAGCAACAGGATGTCAGCCAATACCTGATATAATTTTCATAGTAGCAACTCATGAAATTCCATCTTTGAGGTCCAACGTTAATGGCTGTTAACTCAAGAGTTCCCAGAATATAGCACCTTCAGGGGTGAGAAAGTATCAAATCTTTATTTCCACTCCTATTTTTGAAAGCTTGCCAGTGGAGAAGAAAGGAGCAGATGACTTTTAACTTCAGGAAAAGATAACTGTGGGATTGCTGAGTGGCTTGGGTGTCTGGCTGTGGAGCCAGAAGTGGAGAATTCGAATCCCTCACTATGTTTCCTTGAGAGGGACTGGACTTGATGATCTAGAGGGTCCCTTCCAGCCTCTGCAGTTCTGCAGATTATTATTATAGATATTATTATAAGCTTGAAATCCGTGTCTTGTGTCAGAAGCACAGACATACCCACATTCTTCCCAATCCTTGCTATAATTTTTAAATACCAGCTCCAAGATTTGAAAAAAGGTAAGGCCATGTTAGTCTGCAGTAGGAATAGCACAGGAAGAGTATTATAGCATCTTGAAAACTTGGCACATTCCTTTCAGTGTGAGCTTTTATAGATGGCAGTCAGCTTCTTTGGACAACTTCTCCTTTTGCCTCCGAGGAGGTGGATTGCGACCCACAAACTCTCGCACTGAAATAAGTTTGTCTGATTTAACAGTTATCCCCATGTTTTAATTTTTTTTTTCTTGTGAGTCACACGGCTGTCACACTCACATTCAATGATCCCCGTTCCATTCCTGACCGTATCAGCTCTCCTGCCAAATCCTCTCTCCTCTCTTAAGCACCTTGTTCAACACTGTAAATTAAACTCCAAAAAGTTACTTTTCGGTCCAGAACTTGGAAAACGTTCCTTTCTGGACCGCCGCTCCCGGAATCCGAAATGAGCCTGCATAGCCGCGGTTCGGGATGGTAAATTCTGGGAGCTGAAGGCCTAAAGAGCAACTTCTCCAAGCCATGTTCAAAAGATATTCCCCTTGGCAAGTCAGTCCTAGCCACAGCGAGGAAGTCAAGAAGGGTTGCAGCCGGGCTGAGCTTCCGGGGCAGAGCCCTGTTTACTTGCACCAGTGGACGTTGGATGCCCAGTTGAGGTCTCACAGCTCTTGAGCAAAGAGGCCTCGGGGACCTCCCTGCCAGAAGCGTGAACCCCCTTTCCTGGCATCACCAGCTTGTGCCGTGGGAAGCTCACAACAGTGCACCACCGTTTGCCCATGTGGCCACTGGCTTCTGGCCCCGTAGAGGAAGGTGCATGCAAACACAGACCCACTTCCTCTTTCCACTCCAGCCTCTCACCTGGTAGATGCTGTTGGGGTTGCTAACCGTCGGGATGCTCCTGGGCTCCGTGGCGGAGCCCTCCTCATCCGAGGAAGAGCCGACGGGGGCTTCCGAAGCCGAGGCCTTTTCCACAGCATGCCTGATGCACTGAGAGAGCCTGTGGTCCTCTTGGTGCTCTTCAAAGTGAGCCACGGTGAAAGGCGGGTTCTTCTCCCCGTATCTAGGCAGAGAGATGCAAGCGCACAAGGCACCCAGAACTGGCCGTCAGGACAGATCGAGCACAGAGATGGAGATGGGCCTCGACTTAAAACTTAGGCTGGCTGAAACCCCACCACAGCCGGAAACCCAACTTTTCTTTCGTCACCGACACCTGCCTAGCATGGACTACAGGATTATTTACACCACAGATCCTAGAAAAGAGAGGTGTTGAAATGACATCTTCCAGAACCCCTCTAACTAACATGATTAGGGGATCTGGGATCTATCCAGGATCTCACCTGCAGCAAACATCAAATGGATCTACCCAGACGGTCATCTCCTTTGGCAAACCGAGGCTCTCAAAGTCCACTTTGCTCTTCGCACATACCTGGTCCAGCAGTGGATCTCTTGGCTGGCACCGGTTTATCCTGATACACCTGGGCACAGGAGGGGAGAAAAGGGGACTGAGTCACATACAGTAGTTCATCATCCCCCATCACACAAATTTTGGTTTCTTTGCACACCCTGTTTATCAGAGGGGGGAAAAGGGGACTGGGTCACATAGTTCATCATCCCCCATCACACATATTTTGGTTTCTTTGCACACCCTGTTTATCTCTCACTCGTACTTCCCTCAGCTCCACGACTGCTTTCCTCTCCCTTTGATTCTCACAAGAAGCCCGTGAGCCAGTGCTCAGCCCGAGAGAATAAATGGCATTTCACAGCTCAGTGGGATTTTGAACCTCTACCTCCCAAGTCTCCGTCCGATGCTCTAACCAAGGTAATGGGGTTCCCATTGGGGCCCCCCATATCTTTGGGATTTTACCTGTCAAAGTCCCAGTCAGCATGGCCAACTGTCAAGAAACTGGGGAACTGAAATCTAAGATACCCAGAGAACCCGAGACTGAGGGGGGAAGACAATTAGAGATCGATTTAAATACAAGATCCCAACACAAAAGCCTAAATCCCAAATGCTAAACTCAACTAGACCCAGCGAATCGGCAGCAAAATGATGTCTACTTACCTTATTTCAATCATTCTGCCTTCATTCAGATGGGCTGCTGGACTCGGGTCAAAGAATACGCAATGCCACACTTACCGGAATGATGGTTCTCCCAGTTTCCCAGGAAAGTCGGGCCAAAGGCAGGGACTGGATCACGCATGCATCACTCACCTATAAGCTTGCCCCTTTGAGGGATTGTCCGGATACCAGTGGGTTTTGTACTTTTCGAAGAGAGTGGCCGTCAGCTTGGAGGCAAACGTCTCCACCTGGCGCTTGCTCAGCTTGTTGTGCTTCTTCACGAGGCGTGTGACGAAGAACACAGTCACGGCTATTTCATCTTTCATGTTCCCTTTTCGGTTTGAGAGGTACGAGAAGAGCCTCCGCCTTCGGCAGCTCTCCTGCAAGGTTTTGGGGAGCGAGGCAGAAGGGGTGAAATTCAGGACTACGTCAATCTGCTATCATCTTTTGAACTTCCAGTTGTTTAAAATGACTTTCCCCCTTGAGCGAGTTCCCTGAAATGGGAAGAAGATGAAGTTGGATGTCAGAAGCCAACTTTTATAGGATAAAAGTCAGTTCCCTTCTGTTGCTGTTCTGTGCAGGCAAGTCATCTCCAACTTAAGGCGGGCCTGTGAATCAGCGCTCTCCATTCGGTACCGAAACGGAACTCTTGGGCTCAGAAACACCCTGTTCTTTAATTCCACCCCCTAAATCTCATTACTAATCCCCATCAGAGCAGACCGATTGAATCCCTAGCATCTGTGTAAGAGCTGACTTACAATTCCACAATGAGTTCAATGGGTCTACTCTAGCTGGGAGCAGAAATGAATTTAGATGTCTGTCTTTGGCATCAAGCTTTTACTATCAGGTCTTGTAACTTACTGAATAAACAATAATAAAGCATCACAACACTGAACTGTACCCACTTACGGTCTACACCACCACTTGATATAGATATCATAGGTTTTAGAAGAAAACGTATATTCTTCTTTGCTTGTGACCTCCTCCTTAACACTGAATTTCCATACCAGTTCCTTAAATTGATTCTTCCCTTTTTCAGTGGCCAAGTTTTTTTCCCTAATCATTGCATCAAACTCCTACCTCATTAGTTTAATTAATTGTTAACATGACATCACTGCTGGGGGTGGGGGAGCCAGTAGACATTGCCTTCAATAATAGATGCTCTCAGACACAAACTGCTAAACCCCAAGCTATATTACAAAAAACTAAAGTGGGGAAATATCTACCAGACTTTGAGTTTAGAAAGTCTACATTACCCCCTTTGTTCCTGCAGCCTCCTTTCTTCTTCTTAACCGACTATAGCTTCTTTGCTAATTGAACAGCCATTACTGTTTTATATATGTAGGAGTTGAGCGTCACTTGAGTTCTGTGACAGGTGTGTGCCATAGTCTTGAGTGAATATAAAGCAGGAAGGTCAAAAAATCAAGTTGACAGAACGTTATTTTCCTTTTTTCAATGACAAATCCCTCACTACCCTATAAATAGAACACCACAGTCTCTGATCCTTCAAAAATCCTCTTTTCAAAAATAAAACGGACAAGGAAACAGTTATTTTACCAAGAGGGTGGAAAAATTGGTTTTTATGGAAAACAGTGCTCAGGATCCCCTAAGCAGAATGGCTTGGTAGCGGCTTCTGGGAGTTGTGGTCTCCCCTCTGGTGTGTAGGACAAAATATCACACACACACACACACAACAAACATACATGTTTGCAGGAGACATTCAGGTTGCCACCTTTTCTCCTCAAAGGACGTCTGTGCCTTTAACAGCTGTAAGAAGGGAGACAAGGGGATGGCATCAGAGCCTCAAAAGCCAAGCACAGTTGGAAAGCCAACTTTTTGTGTTTTTGGCCTCCTGGACTTTTCAAAGGCCTTTAGACACACATACAGAGGCATCAGGGTAAGTTGAGACGTAGTCTCTTCCCACTGCCAAACTTCAAAGTAGACAGTAGAAGAGGCCAGGGACAAGAGCTGAAGGGTTATTCCATCAGACAGAACAGTATTTTACTGTGTAACCTGTGCTAAGAAATCCCATTACAATAAGTATACATGCATTTGTGAAGTAATGGTTGCTGAACCCAATGGGATTGCTCCTGAGTAGGCAGGCCAAGAACTGCACCATTTAAATACTTATCAACCCTCTGGTAGTAACTTTAACAAGAAGCTCTTGTTTTATTATCAGCAAAGTTTATTATTTGTTATTCATCATATGCATCCTTCAGTCTTGAGAGACTATGGTAATTATTATTATATATGGGATGATTTCCCCCCCATCTTGGTGGCATTCCTAGCCTTGTTCTTTAACGGCACTACTAAACAGAATATTCAACAGGTGCAACCTTTTCAGTAGGGAGGGATTGTAACCAAGGACTCCTCACCTGTTGTATATCCGCCTACCACTATTGACACAAATACTCTGAAATGAAGCCACCTTCTCACCCCTTTGGTGGGAAAGGAGTGGGGTGACGGGAAAAGCTTACTTCGGACAGGGTGGCTGCTTCCGCGTTGCCAACACAGAGGCTGGATGAGGCCAGAAATGGGCATATGCTATTTTATACAGCTTTGCAGAAATATAAAAATCATTGCTACGGAAACCTCATCCATCTCATCATAGAGAAAATTGGGGACAGGAGACCGTGTGTGCTTTTTTAGATGTCTGTCTTAAAAATCTATCGTGATGGATGGTATTTTGGGTTCCTCATCTTGCTAGCCTTAAGGCTCTCTATTTTGCAAACAAAATTTAAACTGAGCAGCTCCACCTGCAGAGATATGTCCTTCGGTACAGAGAATGCAGGCAAAAGTTACTCACTGGACGACATCTCCCAGAAACCTCTCCTGCAGCACGGCTTTTGCAAACTATGCTGAAGATTATATGAGCTCTACGCTCCATTTTCCTCTTCTGTACAAAGATGGATGGGCGTTGGGGGGGAGGGAAGCTCCTAGATGTGGTGGGATCTGCACAGCTCTTAGGAGGGTGGTTTCCTAGCCGGGCCTTCGTCCAGCTTGCCCGAGCAGGTCTGGCCGTTATTCTAAGAAGCTCAGTTGCTTAACCAAGCCTTTGCCTCCCACGGACGAGCTGGCAAACTATGCCGAAGATTATATGAGCTCTACGCTCCATTGTCTTCTTCTGTACAAAGATGGATGGGCGTTGGGGGGGAGGGAAGCTCCTAGATGTGGTGGGATCGGCACAGCTCTTAGGAGGGTGGTTTCCTAGCCGGGCCTCCGCCCAGCTTGCCCGAGCAGGTCTGGCCGTTATTCTAAGAAGCTCAGTTGCTTAACCAAGCCTTTGCCTCCCACGGACGAGCAAAGGGCCAGCTTCGCCTCCCTCACTGGCTCAAGCCTTTGGCAAATTACCGGGGGTCCGGGAACCCAGCTGCAAATAAACTCTTTTATTTTAGAGTCACCCTGGTGACGGAAACAGACACGCCACCTTGGCAACTTCCACGGAGTAACAAGTCACAAGCAGAGAGACAGAAGCTGAGCAGAGCCTTCACTCATACAAATAAGGTGGCACAGTCTCTCTGTGTGTGTGTGTGTATTTGGCACAAACAATGTCTTCGTGCCGGCTGTTCCTGTGCAGTTCCAGCGGGTTCCTTCTGCCCTAGCACTTATCCTGATAAAACCCTTTTGGGACTATCAAACCCAGAATCCCCTAGCCACCATGCTCGGAGTGGTAGTCCCAAACAATAAAGTCTTCAAGCTCTGCTCTCGTTTCTGGAATTGTCTGTCTTTGCTCATGCATCTTTTAAAATGGAACATTCACACAACTTTGTTGGCTAACTTTTGCACCCGGGTATTTTTTTTTTTAATATGGCCTTCCTATGTTTGTTCTTTTGATGCACCAAATCCATCCCCATTTGTTATTTCTGCATTTCTTACACAGGTAGATTCTCCAGTAACCAAACTCCTCTGGCCAGTTAACAAATACAGATATTTATTTTAAAAACGGAAAATACAGAAGACAGCAAATAGCAACAATAAAAGAGGTGCCACAAAGTATAACTAAATTAAAACAAGAAGCAGGAGGTAAAAATAATGAGACATAACGAACACAGTAAAACTAGCAGAATACTAAAACATTTCTTCAGATGCCTAGGAAAATAAAAGAGTCTTCTTCAGGTGCTGGAAAGAGTAAAAGATCCAGGTGAGCCTCTGTGGGAAAAGGTGTTCCACGGAGGGAGAGCCACCACCAAAAATGCCCAGGTTCCCGGAGCCACCTGCCCACCTGGAGGAACGCCTCTGAATATAGGATCCAAGTAGATCTCTCAGGTTGTGCCAATTAAAATAGATGAACCAAACAGGCTCAATAAACAAATAAAATAAAGCAGGCAAAGCAATACCACAGCTTATGAGAGCAGCTGACCCTTTGAACGAAAGACTTCCTCTTTAGGGGGTTGGCTCGTTTTGTGACTTCCTACCTTGGAGGATTTTCATTGCCCCTAAAAACGGGTTTCTCTGAATTGCCCCACAAGTTTCTTTGCCCGCCCCAAAGCTTGGATCACTCCTATTTTCCTCTTCGTTGTTTGAGTTTGCAATGTGCTGTAAATTCACGCTTATGGCGAGACCGTGATGGAGGTTTTCAAGGTAGGCAGGCTATTTAAGGAGTAGTTCCCACCTCCCAGTGAGCTTACAGGACTCAGCTGGGATTTGAACTTGGGTCTCCTGAGTCCAATGTCCAGCACTCTATCCTCTACACACCACGCTAGCTCTCTCTTTTTGCTTATGGAGATAGCAAAAGAATGTGTCCTTTGCAATAGCACAGAAGGAATATGCCCTGCTTCTATCCAGGAATCCCCTTTGAACCTCATGACATGCAAGTAGCCTGCCATACTACAGACAATTGTTTATTCACTCCTATTTCAAGGGGTGTTTCCTCTTGTGAACATCAGGGACTCCGCTGACATGGATGCAGAACTTGGCATGATCCGGAGCAATTCCTCCTTGTCAAAAGGATTTTTAGGAGGGCTCCTAACTCAACTTTGAGCATTCCAAATTAGATTAAAATTATGGGTCTCTCTGATCTCTGGGCAAGCCCAGGCATGACCGTTAAGAAAAACTATGCCTCCGTTCACTAGCAACTGCAGGGCTGGCCTGGAGCAAACAGAAAAGCAGAAAGATGGTGGCTAGTGATTCTGCTGGGACTCCGTACCCTTCTGTAGGAAGCTGGGCTGGGCAGAAAGGTAAGTATATGCAAGGGTCCCTTTCCAGGAAGGTACAGCGTGCATTTTCCAGATGTGGAAAGAGGTACCACTTTGTGCAGAAGAGAAAATTTTGGTTCCTGTAGGTCAAGAGGCGAAAGGCGAAGAAAGGTTGGCCGGTCAGTTTCATTCTCCCAGGTAAAAGGAAAAAAGTGGCAGGACAAGGAAATAATTGGAAAGGACTGTCCCCGTGGCAATTTGCTACCGGGGCCTGTTTGAAATTCCCAAACCAAGGGGACCTGTGGGGGTACAACAGAGTAATATTTATTCATTCATTCATTTATTTATTTAGGTGGCAATTCTCGCTTTCTCTGTAAGTTTCATGAGTTTCCAAAATAAAGAAGAGCTCTTAAATAATAAGGTAAACGCAGAATAGAAATAAAAAGTTTAAAAAGACAGGAATGTGGGTGCTCCTTAAAGACTTTTTTTTTATGTGAGCTTTTGTGAACAAGTCCACTTCATCAGATGTAAACTCTTATATATATAAACCATAAAATAAACCATTTCTGTGGATCAAGCAGAAAAATAGGTTTAAAAAGCAATACAACTTTTTTTAAAAAAGCTGAAATGTAAGGACTGAAGCCAGTAAACTCTTATATATATATTATAAACCCTTTCCGTGGAATCAACAGCAGAAAAATAGGTTTAAAAACAAATATAACTTTAAAAAAAAGCTGAAATGTAAGGACTGAAGCCATTTTATAGTCTTATTTTGTATCTGCTTTCGAAATACAGAGTATGGGATGTTTCTTTGAGTGGCTGCCCCTTGAAAAGGAAATATATTTAGTTTACTTCCTTTATCAGCCCCATAAACATTGGTTCCTAGCTAGGGGAGCTTCCAAAAGAGGAAGCCTAAGGTGGTGAGATTTATAATTTTAAATGAGGAAATGAGATTTTTAAAATTTTATTGTTAGAAGGGACTTGAATGGGATGCTGGAGGAGAGAGCGGGAAACATGAGGGTTTCCCAGAAATCAAAAAGGGAGTGTGATGCCGATAAAGGTTTCGGAATAGCTGCTTTGAGAAGTCAGAGGTAGGTTGAAAAGACTGGTCCGGCGGCATCTCCGTCTGTCTCGTCCTCAATCTTGGAAAGCTTTCTTTGGAAGCAATGGTTCAAAATAAGTAAATAAATCCCATGATCTCCCTGCATTTTCTCACTGCCAAAT